TGGGACCCCAAAGAGGGGAGTGGGGACATCAAAGAGGGGAGTGGGGATGTCAGAGAGGGGAGTGGGGATCCCAAAGAGGGGAGTGGGGATGTCATAGAGGGGAGTGGGGATCCCAAAGAGGGGAGTGGGATCCCAAAGAGGGGAGTGGGGATGTCAAGGAGGGGAGTGGGACCCCAAAGAGGGGAATGGGGACATCAAAGAGGGGAGTGGGACCCCAAAGAGGGGAGTGGGGATGTCAAGGAGGGGAGTGGGACCCCAAAGAGGGGAATGGGGACATCAAAGAGGGGAGTGGGATCCCAAAGAGGGGAGTGGGGACATCAAAGAGAGGAGAGGGAATGTCAAAGAGGGGGTTGGGAATGTCATAGAGGGGAGTGGGATCCTAAAGAGGGGAGAGGGAATGTCAAAGAGGGGGTTGGGACCCCAAAGAGGGGTGCAGGGGGTGCTGGGCGGGGCAGAGAACCCAAAGAGGGATGCAGGGACCCCAAAGAGGGGTGCTGGGGAGTGGAGTGACCCCCAAAGCAGGGTGTAGGAACCCCAAAGAGGGGAGTGGGAACATCAAAGAGGGGGTCAGGACTCCAAAGAGGGGTGCAGGGGGTGCTGGGTGGGGCAGAGACCCCTTAGAGAGGCACAGGGACCCTAAAGGGGGGAGTCAGGGACCCCAAAGAGGGGCTTAATACCCCCTTAGAGGGTTGCAGAGACTCCAAAGAGGGAGGTCAAGACCCCCTTAGAGGGGTACAGGGACCTCAAAGGGGGGAGTCAGGGACCCCAAAGAGGGGCTCAGTACCCCCTTAGAGGGTTGTAGGGGACCCTGGGGCACCTCCCCTCCTTGGGGCCACCCCCATGGGGGACACACCCACCATGCAGAGCTCCCCCCGAGCCCCCGGTATCATGTCCATGGGGACACCTCCATGGGGACACCACATCTCCTTGGGGACATCTCCATGGGGACACCTCTCTGGGGACATGTCATGTCCATGGGGACACCTCATCTCCACGTCTCTGGTGGCCCCGCAGGCCATCCTGGGCTCCGTGGCCAACGCCTTCATGGTGGGCTGCGTGTTTGGGAAGATCTCCCAGCCCAACAGAGGCCCCAAAGAGGGGGATCAAGACCCCCTTAGAGGGGTGCAGGGGACCCTGGGAGGTGCACAGACCCCAAAGGGGGGAGTCAGGGACCTCAAAGAGGGGCATAGGGGACCCTGGGGGTGCAGAGACCCTGAAGAGGGGGGTCAAGACCCGCTTAGAGGGGCACAGGGACCTTAAAGAGGGGGGTCAAGGCCTCCTTAGAGGGTTTCAGGGACCCCAAAGAGGGGGTCAAGACCCCTTTAGAGGGTTTCAGAAGACCCTGGGGCACCTCCCCTCCTTGGGGTCACCCCCCCAAGCCCCCCCTTGAGCACATTTCTTGGCCCCCACAGGCCATTTTGGGCTCTGTGGCCAACACCTTCATGGTGGGCTGCGTGTCTGGGAAGATCTCCCAGCCCAACAGAGACCCCAAAGAGGGGGGTCAAGACCCCCTTAGAGGGGTGCAGGACCCCAAAGAGGGGGGTCAAGACCCCCTTAGAGGGGTGCAGGACCCCAAAGAGGGGTGCAGAGACCCCAAAGGGGAGGTCCAAGACTCCCTTAGAGGGGTGCAGGGACCCCAGAGAGGGGGTCAGGAACCCCCTTAGAGGGGTGCAGGGGACCCTGGGAGTGCAGAGACCCCGAAGGGGGGAGTCAGGGACCCCAAACGGGGGAGTCAGGGACCCCAGACGGGGGAGTCAAGACCCCTTTAGAGGGTTTCAGAAGACCCCGGGGCACTTCCCCTCCTTGGGGCCACCCCCCCGAGCGCATCTCTGGCGGCCCCGCAGGCCATCCTGGGCTCCATGGTGAACGCCTTCATGGTGGGCTGCATGTTCGTGAAGATCTCGCAGCCCAACAAACGCGCCGAGACCCTCGTGTTCTCCTCGCACGCCGTGGTCTCGCTGCGCGACGACCGCCTGTGCCTCATGTTCCGCGTGGGCGACCTGAGGGATTCCCACATCGTGGAGGCCTCGATCCGGGCCAAGCTCATCCAGTCCAAGCAGACCCAGGAGGGCGAGTTCATCCCCCTGGACCAGACCGACCTGAGCGTGGGCTTCGAGACGGGCGACGACCGGCTCTTCCTCGTGTCCCCCCTCATCATCAGCCACGAGATCGACGAGCGCAGCCCCTTCTGGGACGTGTCGCGGGGGCAGCTGGAGAGGGACGACTTCGAGATCGTCGTCATCCTCGAGGGGATGGTGGAGGCCACAGGTAACACGGAGGGGGATGGGGAGGGGGGGGTGGATCGGTGAGGGGGGGAGGGTGGTGTCTGTGGGGACACCTCGCTGGGGACAAGTCATCTCCTTGGGGACACCTCTTTGGGGGCACATGGTGTCCATGGGGACACCTCATCTCTGTGGGGACACCTCATCTCCATGGGGGCACCTCCATGGGGACACATCGTGTCCATGGGGACACCTCATCTCCTTGGGAACACCTCATCTCCATAGGGACACCTCACCTCCTTGGGAACATCTCCTTGGGGACACCTCATGTCCATGGGGACACCTCATCTCTTTGGGGACACCTCTATGGGGACGCCTCATCTCCGTGGGGACATCTCATCTCCTTGGGGACACCTCATGTCCATGGGGGCACCTCCTTGGGTGCATGTCATGCCCATGGGGACATCTCATCTCCTTGGGGACATCTCATCTCCTTGGGGACACATCGTGTCCATGGGGACACCTCATCTCTGTGGGGACACATCCATTGGGACACATCATCTCTGTGGGGACACCTCCCTGGGGACACCTCATGTCCATGGGGACACCTCATCTCCTT